AGAAAAGTTTTAAAAAAGCACAAAGATTTTCGTAAATTATTTAACATAGAAATAATAAGACGTATTAAATTTTTTCCCCCCGACACACCGTGACAATATACGTGACGCGTGATCAGGAAAGCCTGAGGGGATCCCGCCTCCTAACAGTCCAATGCCCGGCATTACTATTTGATGAGATAAAAAGCGCCGCGGTGGCCTCGACTCGTGAATTTTTAAGGGAGCCTCGTAGGTACCGTTACGTTTCTTGAGTTTCCGAGGTTAGGGAGTGTCGATACCCTGGGGATGCCACAGTAGTCTTCTGTCTTTAATATTTTATCACGGTAAATTATACGATTCCTCATCCCCCTCCTTGCATATGTTGATCTTCCACTTTCTCTCTCTTCTTCTGACGTTAATACTTTGATCCGCGTTTTTCTATTTGGCAGAAAGTATTCATAAAGTATATACGTTTTTTTATTATTTAAGTAGAAAGATAACGTCTCTAATATCACTCATTTCTAGATCAAAATCGTAACGTTTATATTAAAGTAAATTAGAAGATTAGTTTAGAGCGATTCACTGATATCTCGAAATGAGTCATGTTTAAGGATAATTACAACCTTGCGTGTCTTTAATGCTATATTCATAATCGCTCGGCGCCAGTACTACTGGAAGCAGTAAGTAAGCTGAAAAGGAGAAAATTAACGGCGGCATCGACAAAGACTGAGGCATGCGAATGGTACAGTACGTCTTCGTTTCAAGGAAGCTAATCATCTGCAAGCCGTTTCTGGCATACTACTGAAATGCATACGCACGCACACACAGAAATTTTCAACGTGCACAAATTGCGACGATGATTAAGCTCGAAGCGTAATGAAGAAAGAAAAGGACGGGCAAACGAACGAGAGTATACGAGCAGTGACAACCTTTGGACGCTTCTCTGTCGTAACACCGTCACCTTGCCAAGAACTTAATCAATCCGGCCCGAATACTGAAAGTCTGAAGCCGTGTATTTCAGCGACTCCTAAGCCTTTCAACGGAGGAAGCGAATGAGAAAGGCTTCCGCGCATGAGTATAAAGAATCGAGCGTAGTCGAAATGGAACGTAAACGTGGTGCAGATGTCTTTTTCTTGAGGCAATTTCAAGACAATGTTCTTAGGATTTCCGTGTTATTTGGTTAATCGATCTATAAATTTTTTAATAAAAAATATCGAAATTTCTACAAACGTGCTATATTTCGACGTAATAACATAGAACGGATGCGTTGATGAAAGAAAATAATGTAACATCCTATCGCGGAAATGATAGGAGAAAATCCGCGACAGTCAAATTCCCGGAGTTTAGTAGGACACACCGGCAGGCGAGAGGTGATGGGAGATATTTCTGTTTAATAGTCGACGTATCACGCCGGTAATGGAAGTCGAGGCGTTTGCATGCCGGCAGGCACGCTCTGGTGCTATAAAGTTAATGGCGTCGTAGGCGGCGCGATAAAATGATGCATCGTGGTTTGGCGACAATATTATTGCCGACAGCTGCATCTACGTGTACTCCTTCTATAGATCTCTCTAGCGCCCGAATTTATAATTCACGAAGGAACGTGCATACACGTTTTTTATTCCAATGATTATATGATGGGATTTTGCCTAAACTAGAGGCTTAAGATACAAATCATTATACGATTTTGATGAAATTATGCCACGTAAGAGCGGGAGCAGAGTCTTGCATAACGCATAAAACATAATGCACAGGAAAATGAATCAATTAAAATCCTTCATTTCCATGAAATAAGAGAATTTGATTGGTTAATTTTCTTATGCTTTATACATTATGCAAAGGTCTGTGCTTCGGCCTTAAGATTGTTACTAATTACATACGTGACCGAACATAGTTGCGTAACAATGCCAGTTAATGCGTTCAGCAAAGAAAACCGATCAGTGAGCGCTCAGTGATTCTTTATTATAATTGGTTTCTACACTTAAATCCAGTGAAAAGGCAAGAACCAATCATATCAAAGAATCACTGAGTGCTCACTGATCAGCTTTCTTTGCTGAACACTGCCATTATGTTTTAACAGGGGAGTAATCATTTGATTTTTTTCTTTATATAAACATCATCTGAGGTGTTTTTACATCCCAATTAAAATCATTAATATTAACAACATGTTATATATTATTGACTGCTTTTTAATTTATTAGTATTTAAGAACATTATGAATATGGACTCAATTTTCTTAAAAAAAATAAGTAAAAACCAAACAAATATTAAACGGAATAAGTAACTTATTATGACAATATTTTTCAAAAATAAGATTTTAATTAATGTAACGCTTTTTTATTGCGGGCTCTCGATGAAATTGCATGTTTAAAGTTTCATAAAAAATATAGCTATTAAAGACGAAAGACTTGTAACGATATCTATACAAAACGATATTTCACAATTCACATTTTTTTACCATTGGGATGTAAAAACACTCGGATTAATTAAAAGCGAATACGCGCAATTTACGTGCTTAAATCAAAATCCTTTACATACACGAGATTGGCTTTAAAAGTGGCATTACACGTTGTAATGTTCACGTATTCTACGGAAGAACACGAGGCTGAAAAACTTTCTCTTTTTCTATCTTTCTGCCTCTGTCGTAAAATTCCCCGACCATCTTTCGCCATTTCTCACCATCTTCGCGCTCCCATCTCCGTACCGGGCTCACAGACGGATTGTAATGATTAGTATAACGAGGAGATCTCTGCAGAAGGGGCTTACGGGAATAAGCGCGGATACCAGGAATTGCTCCGCTTTTAATTACCGCCGGCTGTGTATACCGTCTTAATGCACTGCGGTGCTTAACGAGTAATACATCGTTATCAACGCTCACGCGAACGACGAGGAAAGCTTATAACTGATTTTAATGGTTTTCCAAGGTGAAAGTCATATTTGAGCCAATCCCGAATCTTCTCGAGCAACGATGAAGATGGAAGCCGGATCGAATACGGATCGATGGAGGCTCGTCAAATCAAGAGGAATAATACAGGCGCGAGTCAAATGGAATGAGACAGTCGCGAGTAATCCGTTATCACTATGCTATTATTCCGTGTAGCGTACACGCTCATCGGAAACTTCGAGTCGAAGTTACCGCAGTGATAAGCTCGCTTACTTGCGCAGAGCTAGACGCGACGCTGTTTGTAAGTGGATTATGCTTATAATAGGGCATTCCAAGTCCGTTCTGAATATTGCGACCATGTATACATCACACCGAGGTAAATCATGTTCGTATCCACTTCAACCGCGTCGCCTGGATTCTCGCCAACGTACATCCTATCCGACAAATTGTGCATAGGATGTGACTTGCAGAGTTCAGCGAGTCGCATGTAGAAACAATATTGTATATTTATTTGCTCCGCAATGCGGGGATTTCAGTGCGTTACGATTGGCGAGGACTATTATTGAGTTCATTCACTTTAGAATATAAAATTGCAAACGGACGCTACATACGACTGACACGTTCTCGGTTTACTATCACGATGCATCACTCGGAGGATTTCTCGAGAGCGGAGATGAATCACAGACTCTGATTGTACCCCCCGTGGAAATTGCTATGATTTAACGTCCTATGTTGTCTACTCTTGTCCGTGACCATTCGTCCAACGCTCGTCGCAACGCGGAACGATTCTTTCGGTAATTTATTGGTCGTAGATCAACGTCGGGGAACGCTGTTTTGGCTCACCCTTACGTTCGGCCGGGACAATGTCGAACATCGACTCCGTTTCTGGCTGTGACATTCCCGTAGAACGGCACGCGGCGTCCGCAGGAGATCGATTGTTAGGTCTACGTTTCGGACGATTGACCTTGCAAGCGAACCACTTCCTACGCAGTGATCGTATTCTATCGACATATACATAGAGCGTACCGCAATAGGAAGAGGTTGTTGCGCAACGTGATCATCATAGCAAGTACATATTTGCAAAACACTTTTCCTGAACATTTTCACGCAAGGACACATTCCAGGGTGACGTAGAAAACCTTGCTATTATGAGACAGAATCGTATTCAGAACAACCAAGGACCTATTTTAAAATAAAGAAAGGGAGAAGGGGAGGAAGAGTTTCGTTAGCTTTTCCCGCGTGAAAATTTTCTCTTTAAATCCTGAATATTGACCTTATTCTGGTGTATTTCTAGCGTCTTTCTAGCCGTGTTACGAGAGGCTGCTACAGTGGCGTAACACAAGGCAAAATGTGAAGTATGCACTTCTAACACTTCTTGTAAGGTCGAGCATGTCGAGCATTCGTAAGAAAGGGGCACTTACAAAGAGGAATCCTGCAGATTTTCCTCAAAAAATGAATAATTATAGGGTCGCTTTCGAAATAGGATTTTCTTTATTCTTTCAATACAAAATATTCGAATTTTTCGAAGGATTTATATCTTCAAAGACTTTCGAAGATATATTACAACAAATGTTATACCTATATACACATGCGTGCAATAAATCTCCCAAGTTTTCCAATAAATTTTGCTTTAATTTACAAGACAATGTGATATAATTTATGTTTTTTCTTTGTTGCAGAGAGACGCTCTGAATCTGGAACCTAGCAATGTGGCAAATTGCGTGTCCAAAGGCAAATCAGAGGTAGGTTTCTTTCTCACAGTTCGGTTTGCGTTTCTTTTCGCATTGCGCGTCGTCTTTGAGAAGAATTTTAATTCCGGTACCGGCAAACTGGCCTGAATGCGTTCTGAAACAGAAAGGCCAAAGAATTGTGATTGCAAAAAAAAAAAGACATCGAACGTAACATCGAGGAGAAAAAAGTCACAAACAGTCGACGTGGAGTAAAATAAAAAGAACCAGCTTCTTTGAAGGCGCGCGAAACGAAAGATGCAAGCTTACTTTTTAATAGACACTGCGGTGTTATTCCAGATTCGAGAGAGAATGTATCTCATTTGTATCTTTAACGCAAAGGGATCTCATCGTAGCATTCTTCTTTCCGAATAATCTACACCAACTTTTACCGCACTGCGTCTTAATTTCTGAATTATACAAGTATATTAAAGTTCCGTTAGCTAAGCTCTCTCTTTATTTCATCTACTTTAATCAGATAAATTTTAATGAATCTTGACATAAATATTGTAACGTCAAGAAGAGTCTTACGTGTGATGGAGTTTTCCCAAATTATCGTATCTGGGCCGGAAATTAAAGTTAATCTGGAACTCTGATTTTTTAACACGCGCATCCATTTTTATTCATATTCTGAAAACGTAGTACTACAGCGATAAAACGAGCACGATTGCGTTCTGTTTCATAGACACGCGTGCTCGCGCGCGCTTATCACAGCTTCATTCGTATGCACCGTGTACGCATCGTCGTCGAGGTGTAAGGTCCACGCAAATATTCCCTACGTGACGACAAAGCCAATTCATTTCCCGTGCACCGATTCGCCGCGAAATACGCGCACGACGTGATCGACCGCGACGACTCCACCGCGCACGCGACGCGATCTTTCGCTTTCCCAGAGTTCGAAGAGAACACGGCCGCGTATTGAACTCATCTACGGGCACTATGCATTATGTCTGCAACGATTTTCTCATCGCCAACACACGTCGCACTACTGAATTTAATTTTTCCGATTCTTCTTTTTCCAGCATTTCGACTGTCGAAATCATATAAGAGTGATACAGCCGATGGGAGACGGCAATCGCCTTTACATGTGTGGTACGAACGCACATTCACCTAAGGATTGGGTGATTTATGTAAGTTTTCCATGTTATTTTCAAATAAAAAAAAATATAAAACACATACACGGAAGGACAATTTTGCTGAAATATCTAAAAATTTAGCAAAATAAAGATTTGAAAATAATTTTGTTAACCCATCGAAATAATTACGCAGGAATCTCAAGCACGAAGAGCAGTGCTCTGTAAAAAGTTTTGACATTCTAGCAACCAGTTTGAGCGTTCTGAAATAATACATAATTTTTTAATGATTGAACAAAATTATTTTTCAGATCTGTAGCCAGCTACATTTTTAGATATTTCAGTAAACTATTCTTTCTGTGCGTAAATGTGGATTTGAGATTGTATATAAATTATTATATATCTTACATAAAATATAACCTTTAAGTGAGCAGGTGAAGTGTCTAAAGATAACATAAATAGACAATTAAGATATCTACCGATATCTTTAAATATCGTCGATCACTAAACATCATTAAACTTCTCAGTTATAATATTATAATATGATGAATTATTTTATTTTTTCAATAGTAGGATATTAAAATAAATACTACAATTGTTTTTTCACATCATTCAATTCTCTTTTCCTTTTATACTTTACGAATGCAACATATACTAAATAAATTCGTTAAATTTGATTTTGTAATACGCGACAGTTTGTGATTGGATTGTGAAATTGTTAAAAACGACAATCGGTCTGACAAAGAGCTGAAAAAAAATATATATACGTTTAAACGTTTGCTGTCATTTGTTTATTGAAAATTGAAAATGCGAAACGATGTTAAATACATCCGCAACTTCCCTTAAAATATATTACGGATTCAGCGTGATATGTGCAACGCACACCGATTTGTGCTGCTTTACGCTTAATTTAATTAATTAATAACAGAACGCGAAGAGGCATCTGAAAATAATATCGTTAATTAATTTTCGCGTTACGAATAAATTTCACCGCCACTCACGCATTCCTCGGTACATTTTAATTTAATTCCCGTCGAAATATTTAAAGCCATATAATGAATAATGCTGTTATTAATGGAAATTTACATGCATTATCGCAATAGTATAAATCCGCATGATGTGATTTGCAAAGTTGTGTAAAGTGCATCAAAGCGTCCGAGCAGATGAATCTTGCGCTTAAGTATCCGTATAACAACACGACAAAAGATACAACAGTTTCGCTTTGCTAAACATTATGAGTCCCGGGTGTGCCGTAACATCTCGCGTAATAATAACATCCAGCCGCTTACCTAAGCTACTGCTAGAAATTGTAGCTACTAAATAAAGTTACATCAAGATATTCGGTATTAAATTTTATAAATATATATTATAAATTTATTATACCATATAACATGCTTCAAAATTATTTCTTTCGTTATTTCTTTCATGTACAAATTTATTAATCGGCTTGAAATTGTGTGTGATATTTTTTTTAACTGAACCTCTTTAAGTGAATAGATGAAATGGCCACAATACCCCAGATATAATTTTCTTTAAAATCTCGTTCTGAAAAAGAAAAATGAAAAGTATTGCCTAGTGCTCGAAAATCTTAAAATTTTTATTATTTTTACATTCCTTTATTTTATAAAGATATGACTAATACAAATTTGACTAATAATAAAAGTAAAAAAAAAACTAATAAAAACATAATTATAAAATTAAAAATCTTTTATATATAGGAGTATTATGAGCATTCTATCTATCAATTTGCGTTTTAAACCACCTACTTATTTAAAAGTTAATCAAGCTGGTTTTATAATTTTATTACCTTCTGTAAAATTTGTGCCTTTTAACTCACCCCTTTTATTTCTATAACATCTTATCATCTGTACCTATCTGATCACGTCCCCCAAATGATGTTCTTTCCAGAGCAATCTGACTCACTTACCGCGCCACGAGTTTGTCCCGGGAGTGGGAATGGGTATCGCGAAGTGCCCTTATGACCCTGCGGACAATTCGACGGCGGTCTGGGTCGAGAAGGGCAATCCCGGAGACCTGCCAGCTCTTTATTCCGGCACGAACGCCGAGTTCACCAAAGCCGATACCGTAATCTTCCGCACGGATCTCTACAATCTGACTACCGGTCGTAAGACATATAGCTTCAAGAGGACACTCAAGTACGACTCCAAGTGGCTCGATAGTGAGTACTCTTTTCACAAACGATATCAATAGCAAAGAGCTTAATAATTAAACTTAATAGAATATCTATATTCTTTTATTGAATCGAAGATGATATTCAATGACTTTATAATATTCGACGTGTTCGAATCTTCGATGTGATAGTATTTTTTGGACGCATATTTTCTATGATTATGTCTCTCCTACATATAGATATCGATCGGTACGTCCACCATTACCAAATATACTTAAATCTCCGCACTTCATAGAGAAATCTTTACTGGAAGATAATTACGGCGTGTCGAGGCAACAATGAAATTTCCATTAGGCTTAGAGCGCATAGTATTAACAGAAAGAGGGGGTCGTCCTTGATCGGCTAAAAAGCGAAGCAGGTCTTCCTGAAGAAACCATGCAGGAAGGGTGTGCTGCTTAGGAAATAGACAGGGAGCTTTGAAGTAGGACCCCGTCAGCCGGGAACACGCTTCGGGTTCAAATGGATGCGAATAAACTGCCCCGCCTATTTTCCAAAGGTACTACTGCCTTCCTCGCCGACGACGAGGAGATTCTCGCGCAGAAAAGCAGGGGAACGACGGCAGGGGTGGGTTAGAAGTGGAATTATAGGAGTTTGGAGGGCGATGTCGGCGCTAGGTTCGCTATCGGACCGGTTAGAGAGGGTGCCGGATCTTTCTCTCTTTCTCTACAAACGGGGTAATAAAATAACACCCCGACGCGATCTTCCTCGTCCTAAACGCTGCGTTCTCGACGAAAGTACCCTCTCCTTTTTCGAGAAAAAGAAGAGAAAGCGAGTCGACTGAAGAAGTTAAAGTTTTCCCGTCCATCCGCCGGAAACCGCTCTCTCCCGCTTTACCTCGTCTCAGTCCCGCGTAGTTCGGAAGCCCGAGCTTTAATCAGTTTTACCGGCTCTCTGATTCGTCGGCCGGGATTATTGCGATCCTCTCGATTTTTCGTTATCGGAGCGCGGAACGTGAGAGGCGCGGCAAAAGCGGCCCGGCAAGGAAATTGGAAAATGTAGATTAGGACGTGCGTCGAATATAGACACACAATCCGACATGGAATTTAATAGCGTAACTCGCGAGAGGTAGGGGCGCAGAGCGCGCTGATTTGCGATGATCAAGTGTAAATAGAATCCGATTCGTTAGGTTCGTCGGTCGTGACGGGACACGAGGAATACGTAGAAATTTTAGTTATACGAAATTTAGTTATACGAGCGTTTAATATCGAAATCCTTCTCTATTCTTTGACTGTCTGCGTTTTAAAATGATTGTCAAGAAAATCTTGTTCCACAAATAGTTTACATTTCCCATTGAATATTATCCGTTCGTTAGTTCGTCGAGTCAAATGCAAATGAAATATTTATATAAGTTCTTGCTAAATAAACATTTTTGATTTATTAATTATTATAATAAAAATTATTTTTTTTCTGGTCGATGAAAAAATAAGTTGTCCGGATAAAAATTAATTTTAACTTCATCCTTGTCACAATCCTTTTGCGGTGAGCGTTCATGCGCGATATATCGAACCGTAATAATGGCGCAAGACGGTTAGATGGCTGCTTTGTATTTCTCGAGGGGGCTGCTTCCGCTTTTCCTCACTCTGTCGAAGCGTGCCACCACTCGAACCCACTCCTTCAACCGTCGTCGTCGGGAAGGAAGGTCGCGGTATCGAAGCGGCAAAAGCCGGAGGGAATGGTTGGACGACTTTGTCCCACTTTGTATCCTTCGCGCCCTCCCGCGGGACGCATGATTAGCCATTTGTTTCGTCGTTTAATTTCGAACCAGCAGCCCTTTCGCTACTCTCTCTCTCTCTCTCTCTCTCTCTTTTTTCTCTCTCTCTCTCTCTCTCTCCTCCCCCCCTCCCTCCCTCTACCCTCCCTCTCTGTTTTTCTCCCTGTTTCTCTATCTCTTTTTCGCCTCTGCCTATTCCTCTACCTTCCAAGCTGCCAGGAGCCACCTCCGTTTAGACCCTACAAGCAAGACTACTGAGCGCCACCATCAAGGATCATTCTCTGCATCGAGTTTGTCTATTAACAGAGGCGTTGATTAAAAGCAGACGAGAGTCCCGGAAGAGACGGATGGGCTCCACGCGCGCTCCTCGTATAATCTTTGCGACTCTCCGACCCTTCCTCAGCGTCGACCTTCCTTCTTCGCTCATAGCCTCTCTTTCTCGCTTCTTCGGTTTACTTGGCGGCAAGGCAAGACGCAATGAAGACTGATGCGGTTCGTGGTGCGAGGTCATGATAAGGAAAACCGGCTCCGGGAGGGTAAATCGCAGACGGAAAGGGAGACGAAGAAAAATAGGGAGCAGAACGCAGTGGACTTAACAAGCTTTGAATAACTAGCTGACGAGCGTCTACTTTCACGGATCCTTGCACGTGCGGAATTTCGCTTGAACATTAACCATCTTCCTTTCCGCTGTATTTAAAATGTAAAAGTCTCTTTTCGTCGCGATGTAACGAGACGCTCTTTTTCTTGAAGCATAAGCGAGCACTTTCAGTGTTCGAACTCCATCGTATGTTACTCGTCAACAACGTCGGGGTACACAATCAAAAGTCATCTCGCTATGAGATGCTTCCACGTCTCCTCTTCGTAAATTATTTCTCTCCTTCTCGCTCGTCTCTGTCTATCTACATGGGCTTGTACCGCCCCAATATATCAAACTTCCGCCGTCGAAGCGTCAGACAATCGATTTAATCGCTGAACCGTGAGAGAGATTGCGGCGGCCTCCAGCCGAGCGCCGCCGCATAATGTAAAATCGACGAGAGAGGCCCGGCCCGATTCTGGCGACGTTGACGCGATTCGAACGTGGAAAAATTCGATTTTCTTCGCTATTTTCTCGTGTCACACAACTCCAATTTCATCGTTGTGCGGGGTAAATCAGTTTCCTCGGTACAACAAGCAATTACACCAAGATTAAACCGCAACGCTTGCATCGAGCTACGAATAACGTAAATATTTGCGCGATTTATGCCATGGCGCATATCGGATCTGAATCTAGTTTTTAGCCAAACCACAAATACACGAAAATCGTTGATCGAAAATCGGCAAAACAAATTGAAGTTGATATGTAGTAAATTATTTTCAACTAGGCGGATTATGGTAATTACGTGTAATATTTCTTAACTGTAAGATGTCTTGGAATCGCTCCCCAATGGGCTCACTAAACCGTTGAGAAGTTTATTGTTAGGTCAAAAGAAACAATAGTAATTCAGTTTCTCGAGTTAAATAATATTTTGTTATTTTTAACTTCCATATATGTCAAAATGTAAATCAATTTATTTCTGTGACTGAATTGCTTAGTTTCAAAGTAAACAACGTCCATATTACGTATGACACTTAGTCAATAATAAGTTAAATTTAATTTGAATTTAATATATTTCTTGAGTTTAATGTTTAACTTCATTGTTTTAGTTAAATTAACAACATATTGAGTAAGAACAGTGACGACTTTTAGATATCAGAAATGATTTTAGAAACGATTAAAATTCAAATTAGGTATAATTTGGCAATACGAATTTAATAGTGTTATTTCGGACTCTTTCTTCGCGCAATTTATTCAAAGATGATAATAAATTCTTATAATTCTACTACGCGAAATTCAATAAAGCCGATTTAATGGCACTTCTCTCATGCTGTGCAGTTTTTCGAGCTGGATGTTGATGAATTGCGATTTAATTTTAGTTATTTATGTATTTGAGGAGATGAATTTTAAGAAATTTATTATAAAATTAATTTAACAAATGACACGAGATTGCAAAATTATTTTTTCACTGAATTCAGTATGTTTTCCACGAAACGTTTTCAAGGGACGCAATTAAAGTGCATTATTTCTAAGCTCTGCTATAATATTCGTTTTTTACTCTCCCTTCCTCCCACTTGTTCTTGAAACAGGCACAAAATAATACTGTTGCCTACGAACTGCCTGCGGTTAAGCGGAATTTGGAGGAGATTATTGTCCGCGTTTGAACGGAGCTGGAACAGTCCCGGCGATGAAAGTTTTTACGCATAGAACGAGCAAGGACATCTTCTCGTGTACCACCCGCGGCGAATACTCGATTCGCGATTATTATTGTGTGCGCTTATTGCGGAGTATCTACGCGAACTATCTGCTCTAGATGCAGTTATTTTGCTGTAGAATGAGGTAGACGCGCTAACGGCTAGATTACGCGACCATATAAATTCGCCAGAATATTCCGGTTGAACAGTTTTGCAACTGCGAAATATCGTCTCAGCGAGGAAACGTACATAGAATTACGAATTGAGAAACAGATTTCAAAGCGCTCGAAAATATCAGAGGATTAATAATATCACACCTTTTTATCTTTGTAGAACCGAACTTCGTGGGTTCGTTCGACATTGGCAGCCACGTGTTCTTCTTTTTCCGCGAGACCGCGGTCGAATACATAAACTGCGGTAAAAGTGTGTATTCCCGCGTGGCGAGAGTCTGCAAGAGGGACACTGGCGGTAAAAATATACTCTCGCAGAATTGGGCCACATACCTCAAGGCCAGATTGAATTGCTCGATACCTGGCGAGTTCCCGTTTTATTTCAACGAAATACGTGAGTATATATATCGGCATATATGTTGTACAACATGATATATATTTTTGCTGTATGACATATTTTTTATAGTGTAAATTACACTTTCCTTTCTACTTTTTTATACTTAGAATTCAGTGCTTTTAACCCTCCGCCGGCAACATTAATTTTAACTTTTCCGTCAGCACAATAGAGGGTTTTTGAAAAACAGAGCAAATTTTTTTATTGTTCCGGATTATATAAAAATCTAAAAAAATTCTGATATATTAGAAGTCGGACTGCATTTTATTCATTTTTTTACAGATTTAAATTTATCTATTAAAATTCACAATCAAAATATTGATGGTGCTTTTAAAAATCCCAATTTTTTCCCGGCAGAGGATTAAAGATATTTATAATTATTTTTCTCTAATATAAAAAATGTTATAATAAAAGTGTCTCTAATCGAAATGATATGTAATGTTACAAAATCTTTATTTTTAACGGGGAACAAAACTATTTTCGCTATTATTATATTCACATTCTGACTCATATATTCTGGCGACATGTAATTACATTATTGCATCCTTGCTCAGAGAGCATTTATAAGGTGCCGGGTGACGATACGCATTTCTATGGTACCTTCACCACATCGACGAATGGGTTAATGGGTTCCGCGATATGTTCCTTCCACATTGACGCCATCCAAGAGGCTTTTCGCGGAAAGTTCAAAGAGCAAGCAACTAGCAGTAGCGCGTGGCTACCAGTCTTGTCCAACAAGGTTCCAGAACCGCGCCCGGGTCAATGTGTCAACGACACAGAGACGTTGCCGGACACCGTCCTGAATTTCATAAGATCCCATCCGCTGATGGACTCCGCGATTTCGCACGAGAACGAGAAACCGGTCTTCTACAAGCGGGACGTCATGCTTACGCGATTGGTCGTCGATAAACTGCGCATCGACTTCGTGGGCATTGATTTGGATTATACTGTCTACTACGCCGGCTCTAGTAAGCAAACTATCGAATATCCGTCAAGATGAATAGAAACGCGATCTGATAACTTATTCTTCCTTGATAAAAATGCGTGAACACATGCCTCTTATCACGTGTTATAGGTGATGGCCGCGTCCACAAAGTTGTACAGTGGATCGACAATAATGGCGAATCCCAGTCGATCTTGCTGGATGTTTTCGATGTCACGCCTGGCGAGCCGATACAGGCGATGGAGATCTCGAAGGAACATAAGGCTCTCTACGTTGCATCGGATCATCGGATAAAGCAGATCGATCTGGTAATGTGCACTCGACGATACGACAACTGCCTGCGATGCGTCCACGATCCTTACTGTGGATGGGATAAGGACTCAAACACGTGTAAACCTTACGAACCAGGGTAAGTGCTCATCGCATTCTCCGTAAACGTGATCGTAAAATACATTGCGAATACACACGCGGAGTGCAATTTATAATCTTTAATTTTACGCAAGATGCACACGTATTATAAAAAAACAAAGAATGAAACACATTCAATTTTCGTCATAATTTACTCGCTTGATTACGGCACGCAGATTTCGGAGCAGAAATATTCGCGCCGATTTTACGCATCGTATATTTCAGTTACCGCAGATTCATTTCCGTCCGGTGAAACGAAATACTTTTACAAAAATAAAAAAATAAAATAAAATAAAGGAAAAAAGAAAATTGCAGCTGACGAATCAAAATTCAATTTCGAAATATTTCGGAATAAAATCAACGGCAACGTGAATGTTCGAGATTACGTGTTCGCGACAGAATTATTGTACGTATAATCGTGACTTTTGATTTTTATTTCAAATTTTTTTCTGTTCGCAGTCTTCTTCAAGACGTGTCGAACACCACGGCAGACGTTTGCGACAGCAGCGTCGGCAAACGGAAACTGGTTGTCACGTGGGGCCAGTCGGTGCATCTGGGTTGCTTCGTGAAGATGCCGGAGGTCCTGGCGAACCAAGAGGTGCGGTGGTACCATTACAGCAAAGAGAAGGGAAGGTATCAGATCGCGTACAAGTACGGCGCCGGCGGCGACAAATTCATCGAGACTTCGGAGAAGGGTCTGGTAATCGTCGGCGTGAACGAGCAGGACGCCGGCAGATACGACTGTTGGCTCGGCGGTGCTCTCCTGTGTTCGTACAACATCACTGTGGACGCGCACAGATGTTCGGCGCCTGCCAAGTCCAATGACTATCAGAAGATTTATTCCGACTGGTGTCACGAGTTCGAAAAGTACAAGTCGGCGATGAAGAGCTGGGAAAGAAAGCAAGCGGTAAGTCGATTCATCTTACTCCTCCTCGGATCAATCGATATAACGTCGATAGATATCTTCTTCAAATACCGGGAGCGAAATGACGTTGCCGTATATCTCAGATATTCATATCACCGTCCGTTATATACGTACATGGAATTGTCATAAACCGTAATCGAACCGTTCAAAATTTGCATTGCAAAAACGATGTACAATTCAGCAGATTCTACGTATATTCAGTTATCTTTATATGCATCAGAATGGATGGACGAAAATTAAATATTTATCATGAAATTGCTCGATGTGAGATAAAGTTTATTGTGGGGAAAATACACCTACGGCGTATAACTGTAAATCGATAATGTGTATCGATAAATATAATTACATTTGATAGCCGGCAAATGAGAATTACTCTGTGATTGTTCAAAATCGTTCGTGATCTTTTATGTATTACGCAATGACAACTCTTAATGCGTATCAAAATCAATATAATTTGCACAACAGAATTATTAATGTGGTTAGCCGATTTTACGCGTTTACTCTATATAAATATTTGCGCTTGTATTAAGGCGATCGTTAATATTTTATTATATCGTATATCATGACGGATGAGTTCATAATAATCTCTTATAATTTACATGAATATGCTGCAGTGAAATCAGTTATGATCGATTGTGAAATTTATTCATATTTACTTACGCGAATTGATTTCACGCAGCATATAGTGATCATCTAGTTTCGAACACGTGGTACACAGTACACGAAGCAACAATGTTGTTTAATACAATACATTCGGGAATCGAGATGCAATTCCCTTTACAGCATCGACGTGCGTGTTTTCTCTGTTGCAGCAATGCGCCTCGAGACAGAACGACAGCAATCAGAATTTACACACGAACGAGGTGTACGGCACGCCCCTCGTCTGATGGAGCCGATCATTGGGTCCCTCGTCGAGCCGAGATTACGATGATACGATGATACGCATAAGCGTCCCGCCAAGGAATCGCGGCTGGACCACAACCGGTTGGATCGGCCTGGCCTTCTTGTTGGCCGGTCACGCCACTGCGCTTGGCCCGCTGGTTACTCGAGGACTCTTAAGTGACTGAAGTCGGTCCAAACGGTGAACTGAATACGTAAAAGGTGTGAAGAACGTATGATCGATCGTGTATACTATTATCCACGTGCCACGGTGCCCGAGAGCTTCTCGTCGGCGCTGCCGATCGCGAGTGACCATCGAGTTTATTGGCGATCGGTGACCCGCAAGAATATTCCAGTTCCGTTCTCGTCGCGCATCCAACTTTCCGTTACGTGTATATATATGTATACATATATACATATATATAGATATATATATATCGTACTCGTCTCGCTGTAAATAGACGTGTCGCGTGCGATCCGCGAAAGTGAGACCGGACGCTGGACGCCGCGAAAGAAGCGCGGAGTCAGCGGGACAATCCTCGGCTCGTAAATTTCGATACGATTGCGCAATCACGCGGAGTGATGTTCCTCGGGGTGAATGAACGATACCTTTTGTGCCGAAGAATCATGGATAAAGTCCTGATTCCTCTCACATCTGGACCGGTCGATGCTGCATGGAGAAACGCACAGTTTTCTTTCCTTGAACTTTTAATTAATTTTGCGAGATGGGAGGGAATTTTATGTGTACATATGATATTGAAGCCTCATTTACGGAAGACGACGCAACGTTGATCGTGATATCATCGTGACCAAGATATCGATTATCGATAAAACATCAAAATTAAGCGGTGCGTCAAAAGGAGAATGGCGCGTTACCTTGCAGTTGTTTTCGCATCCGGAAGATAGAAGCGACCGACAACACAAACGAAGTCGAGATGGAGCTTCCCTACAACGGAGGTGGGAGCATCGATTGGAGAATAGTTGCAAACGGCTCGCACCCGCGAGGCTGAGAGGAAGCGGTGGCGTCAGACGAGGAAAGAAAGGTAAAACGTTAGAAAGGAGAAAAAAAAACGAAACGTGACCAACGGCGCGTTTACGACGTCACGCAGGTTACATATGAGATTATTATCGGCTTTAGAGACCTTCATGCGAGCCGCCGCTGCGCTGCTGCACTCGCGCGACGCTGGTTAGCTTTCCATATCACGTTCGCCGCTTTTGCGGCGCACACACGCCTATTTTCTACCTGCACCCTTCAGACCCACCCACTCAGCTCTCGTATCCCTGCGCACCTCCGCGTTTTCCTTCGTTTTTTCTTTCATATATCGCATCTCGACGATCGCGCGAGCTACTGCCTGTTATCTTTTGTTTGCGAGAACCTTCGTGCCGTTTTGATCATCACCATTATTCTTCATGTACGAGCGAAACGAGCATACGATGACGCCGTGTTTTTATTCCCGCGCATTCGCATTATGTCGACAAAAGTGCGTCGTATTCGCGTGTCGCTTCGTGTCGCGCGGAACCCTCGAAAAAATTGACATACTCCAGTTCGCGAGGAACCACCTCGAGTACCTTCACGACGCGTCATCGTCGAGAACCAAACATTCCTTCCCCGTTCCCCTCCTTTAAATCAAGGTGCTACGCGGGTTTATTTCCTTTAAAGAAAACCGATAAGAATCGTAGTTTCAGATCCACGTATACATTTCTTTCAAACGCAAGTAACCCCGTCTGTTCTTTTTTTTATCCGATCCTTTCCTCACAGACATACACGCGCGTGCACGAGAAAAACGCGTTACACGCCTAACGAGCGATTAACGGCGATCGTTATATACGCGCCCGTGCACTGTACATAATACCGGACTTGGGAGTCACGTGTACACATTTTCCGCTTAGATAAGTCTAATATTAGCGTAGAGGCTATACATGTTTGCTTATAAGTTTTCGATGAACATGGCCAGAGAGATCTCTCGTTGCATCCCGCGGTATCGCTGAGTAAACCGGAGTAACGACCGCCAATAAAACTAAACGCGGTGCTGGGGAACATCGAGGCGAGCGATCGTTTCGACGACTTCCGGACTTGAGGTTGCGCGGGCTATTGGACCCAGCATTGCGCTTTTTTATCCGCATACATGCAACATGTACATGTTTCGGCATAGAAAAGCTTATAGCATAGGACGCGCATCGTCCGTGAAGTCTGCTTCGCCCGAAAACTGAAACTTTGACATATTTGCCGTTATATTTGGTTTATCTTAAGATATCAAATACATTGATTATTACTTTTCTTTTTTATTTTACTACCGTTAGCTTTCATTACGCTCTGTTTTGTTATACCGCTCGAGAGCTTCTTTCGGACATGGGAACGGGCGTTTCCGACTTCGTGATTATCTGTACATAGATAATAGCGTTATATTTTTATAAAAACGACAGAGAAGACTTACTGCTAAAAAGCAAAAAACGACATGATTTTAATCTATTGTTAGTATTTCGACTATCCGCATTCAGTCAAGTTGATTGGCCACAAAAAAATATCTCTCGATCTCTGAATAAACAAATGTTTTTCAACAATGCAAACGGATATTTTTCGACACATTCGAAAATGACAGAAATTCAATTTTACCATGCTTCATCGCTAATTTTGCAAATACATACGTCCTCGTTTAGCAATCGTCCATGAAAATATACAAACTCGCACTATAGTCGAAATAGCGTTCGTATTAGCGTCCGTCCGACTTTTCCTCGGAGATCTCGACATACATTTTATGATCAACGCGACAACAAATGTTTACCGGTGCTCATTTAGCGCGGTTTGTCGAACGATCGACGTATCGAGATAGCACCCAGCCAGCCATAATCAGCACACATACACGTAGACTATAAAGAGTAGTAGGGGAGGTCATGACGCCTTTCTAAATACGGATTTCAGTTCCCTCAAGTAGTTGATCGCATCGGTGATAGTTTCGCTCTTACTCTTAAGTTTGTACATAGACATTTATATTGTAACATTCACAGTATCCTCGATAATACAGCAGCGCGGAGTTGCCCGATGGGCGCGGCTGTTATTAACTTCTGTACAGAGATCGTCGCGATTGACGATTTACCTTTTGTACCTATAAGGCTCAACCTATACGAGATGGTACGCGATAAGAAAGAAGAACTTCGATAAGGAAACCGCTGAAAAATCTAAGAGATCGAAGTAGCGGAGTTGTACCTAAGCGAGACCTAGGAAGATGTAAGAGAATAATACAATAATCTAATCCTCGAGTATGTACTTATTATGAGCTTCAACAAGTATTGAATAGTATTATGACGTAGGATTAAGGCCGAACACACATTAGAGAAAATCGAAAGACTTTCGGATCGAGACTGAGCTAGTCTCGAAGTCGCGCGGATCGACGAGGATTCCGTTGACCTTGTGAAAGATTCTTACGCACAACTTGCGCGTTTTGAATGAGAAATGGGAAGCGGATTCTCGACGATCCGTTCGGTCCACTTGTATCTACAAATCATCCTTAAATTTCTCCAGTCATCAACCGACGTCCCGGATCGTAGTAGATCGCAGACACGTCTGGATATAAAGATGAACAGAGAAAAGCTGCACGTTGCGTGTGTGCGCGTGTGTGCATGCGTCCGATTGCATGATGTCACGGATCGATACGTAAAGAATAGTAAACCTACCTATCGTATATTTAAAGAAAGTTATAAAAAGAGTAAAAGCAAACGTAATATTACGATAGAATAGTAAAGTACACGAACTTTGGCTAAGAGCGCCTTCGTGCAGTCCTTGCGGACCATGTCACGTCAATCGCGTGTTTACGGTGATGGAGAGAGGGAAGGTGTATCGATCGTGAATGATGGTCGCAGTCTTGCCAAGTGCGAAGAAGTGCGTGCCCGATGCGAGTGCACGAAGACGCGCTTCGGGTTGGAGTAGGCGTGATCACGGAAAGCAATCTAAGTTGAACTAAAAGTTGTTAGATATATTATTTGTAAGATTACTGTACGTTGCGTGAATGCGATTGATGCGGCGGGATATCGCGAGCGGAACGATCTATCGGCGACGTAGAGGAAGGTAGCTTGCCCCGCCAGCGAGGCAAAGTAGTTTCGCCGCTGTTCGTCGAGACGTGAGCTCGAAACGCACCCGAACGAGAGAAAAAAAATTAATAAAAGACCTCAAACACTGCCTGCGAAATCCTAATCGATTATCCCGCAACGTCGACCGCGAGAAGGCGAGATAGACTATAGACTCGGTTTAATGTATGCGATACGAAACGATTTTGGGTGACAGCCCTCGTGGTTACTCATGTAAGGGAAAACGCAAAGGGGGGAGAGATACCCTAACTGAATAATTAGTTATGACGACATACTACTATGATAGGAAGAAAAAGGAAAGAAGGATAGACCCGCGATAATGATTTATTAAAATATATCACTAGGACTAGCCGACGACTGTCTTAGGTTTCAAGTATTGGAAGCGTAGACTCGTTTCTCGGGTGGTGTAGCGGAGGGGGTGGGACGGGGAAGGATTTGCTACACATGGCGCTGCGTGTATCCTTTACTTTTTGTATCCTGAAGATTACGGAC